TTGCTCAAGCGCATACTTGGTCGCTCGAGCCAATTGTAAAGGCCTGTAAAAATACTGAAAGCATACAAAGTGCGCTCGAAAGACAAATTCATCGCTCGAGCGAAGTGAACAAATTCTGGGTTTCCCAAAATTGAATTCTAAGTTCAAAAACATCAATTTCAACCCAAAAGCTTGCATGGCTGGAGGAATTATCGGAAACACTTAACAAAACATGAATACTTGATAATTATCAAACCAAAATCCAAAACCTCTTTCAAATTTTCCAAAACAAAGCTCAAAACTCTTCAATTTTGTCATGAATGTGATGAATTCAACTCTTTTTTTTTCAAAACATGATCATATGAGATGATGAGTGTGAAGTCATGAAGAACCCTTCAAGTTAACATATGTAAACTCCATGCATATATGAATTTTTGCAAAACCAAGCTTAAAGATGAAGAAATATGCATGCATGTCCCAATTTAGCACTTGCTTATTAAATTCATAGTGATTCTAGCATTTCCTTCTTAAGTTCAAGCAAATAATCCTACAAACTTTATGAATTCAACTTCTACATGAACTAATTACGAGGATTATAACTAAATTTTATACCTAGAGCTTGAATTGATTGTAATTTTGCTTAATCTCTTCAATTCTTCACAATTCTCCCTCACTCTCTCTCTCTCTCTCTGCTTCTCTAGAAGTTGAGCTCTCAACTCTCTCTACAAATTTTCAGCTCAAAAAATGATGAGAATAAGTTAATTAAGCTTATATCATATATTTATAGGTTTGATTAGGTTAGGTTAATTAATCTAGCTTAGGTTTAAGCAATCTTAATCAACTTTAATTGATTTATTCTAATTATTTTGATCTGAATCAAATTTTAATCAAACTTATCATATTATCCCAAATATTCCAATTAACCTATTGAGCTATTTAATTTCAGTTTTTGAATCCATTGTGCTTTCAATTTCTGATTCAAAGTCAGTATTCCAATAGATATTCCATAAACAAACAAACAAGCACAATTTAAGCACATAATTATGCAGGCACGCCCAACAAAGTAATATGTACGTCGAGGTCGTCACAAAACTAGTTCCCAAATCGAACGGTGAAATCTTCTCCACATTGTCTGAAGAAGACGACAAATTGGATAAGTTGACTCAAGGGCTTGACAATTTGTTCCCAAATTAAACAACATAATCTTCTCCAAGTAGTCTGAAGAAGATGAATTTGAAGTTGACTCCAAGCCTTGACAACTTGTTACCAAATTGAATGGCAGAATCTTCTCCAAGCATGAATTAGTTTTCCTACATAAGTTTTATTAATTTTCCTAAAAAAGATTATTGAGTTAGTTTTCCTAAAAACAATTATTGAATTAGTTCTCCTACATAAGTTTCATACCTAAAAAAGAAAAAGAGAAACCACATAATTATGATTCCAGGTCTTAATGAGTTAAACTACACTAAATATAACTTTGTCATACTTTTACAACTGTATTTTTACTATTTTTGGCGTCATCGAACTACTTAATTATGCCCATCTAAAAAACAAAATATAGTTAATTGTGGTGTGATCAAGCAATAATTCAAATGCCAACTTACCTTAAAAGCTTCGCTATAAAGCAATACATTTCTTCCCTCTCTTCTTTCTAAAACCCATAGCATTTGACTGTTTGTCTTTGTGATCTTTCATTTGTTTCAGACACTATCTTCCTTATTCTACTTCTCCATCTCCATTGCAAAACAATTGAGCTCTACAACTACAAGACGAACCATGTCAGGAAATGACGTGAAACCAGTCGTACCTTTCAATCTGACCCTATTCATATTCACACCTAAGACCTGTGAATATCTTGGTTCATCGGTGAGCTCTGAAGGTTTGTTTCAAAATGATGATCCCTTAAAACATCCACTTCCAACTCTTCTTTTGCAGCTTGGGACTGCGATTGTCTTGACGACGATCCTGCACCACATTCTCAAACCTCTCCACCAACCTAGATTTGTAGCAGAGATGTTGGTAATTAGCCTCTCCCTCTCACCCTCCACCATTTCTTAATTACGTTGATTATCAATTTTTCTACAGGCATAAAATCTAGATCACGTCTGTTTTACATGGGTTTGGGATTCATATATTTAATTGCTCTCACTCATGTGAGATCAATATATCTGATTCTATAATTGAATTTTATGCATTTAGAATTTTTTTTTTTTTTTTGGATTAAATATAGCACGTGATGCGAAAATAAAAACTTAGGTAAGTCCCCTCGGCAAAAAAGGCCCCTTCAATAATTTAGAAAGGAACAACCCCCAACTGAAAAGGGTTTCATATTGAGAAAGTCCAGTAGAAATAAAGCCATTTCTCAACAACAATTTTGTTGGATATCTTTTAGATCTAATAACAGTACGAAAACATATAAAAGGTCAATGCAGTATGCATTTTTTTCTCCATTTTTTATGGGTCCATGTGTTTGAACAAAAATTTTAATGACCTCAAATTTAATGTTTTGTCCTCTCTGTTTCTATTTTGGTCAATATAAAACAAGTTGATTACATTTATATATCATATTTGAATATCATTTATGTGATATGTCACATTATACTAATCATATCTTTTAAATATCAGCAATGGTAATTATTATGAAAAATCTTTCATGAAAATAATCATGAAAGTTTTATAACCCTTAAATTATACTTAGAATAAAACATCACATACTAATCAAAGTAATCCAAGAATCACAACCCTTTCATGATTATTTTTATGAAAAAAATTTCATGATTCTTAATTTTTCTCTTTAAATATAATATAATTCATATCACATATGATGCCACATTAAATACTCGCATATGATATACTCAAATATGATCACACATTAGTACTTTTTTTATTGCCTTACCCCTTTTCAACTATACTCCACCGTTTTATCCCTTTGAATTATAAAATGCATTCGTAAGCACATTCTCTTTCCTTTTTCTTTTTTTTTTATTAGTTAAATGGTTGTCTGAGTTAAAATAAATTTTAAGTTTTCGTTTTTGGATGATCAAATGAGGCCATGTACCACCAGGGTTGGTGGCCTGGTGGAGGATGTGGCACATTTCCTAGTTGAGAGTCAGGGTTGACTCTTGGGAGGAGCGTTGGAAATCACTCCTTGTGAACACGCTTCTACTCTCCATGAATCCTGTCCTCTGCTGCGGCGTGTGAATGCCTTTCATTGGTGCTTTGGTGGTGGGTCCCTCCCTTGGTGAGGATTAATTTCTAGCTAACAACCGATTATTCTGAGACTACATCTGAACGGGGCCATAATGACACCACCGAATTTTTTTTTTTTTTTTTTTATCAAAAAAAAATGAGGCCATGTCTCACGTTAAACCGACCAATCAATATAAGAGACCGTATCTACGATGGGACTAGTGCTTTTATTGACTTGAAAGCACAATATCAATATAGAATAGTGAATTTGTGTTTAAGGAGAACTAAATAATTTTTATTGATATGAAAACACTATAGCTCGTTTGATTTGTATTTGAGAAATATGTTTTGAGATAAAAAGTACGAAAATTTGTTTGATTTGATTTTTTTTCAAAAGATGTTTTGAAAAATTATTTTAAGAGAGAATTTTGAAAAAAGTGATTAATTTGATGTGTATGAGAGAGAGATTTGTTTGGAAAACTTATAAACCAAACAAGTTTTGGAAAAAAATTTGAAAAAATTTGTTTAGTTTGATTACTTTTGAAAATTTATTTGTAGAGAATTTTTTCCAAAATTTTTTAAGAAACACAAACCAAACTATCAATACATTAAGTTTGTGTTCCAAAAGAACTAAATAATTTTAAACCTTAAGAGTGATTTTTATTTATAAGAATAAAACTTAGTTAAATCATTGTTTTATTATTTTATTTTTTATTTTTTTGCACAAATTTTAGAGTTCCCTTGCATTAAAAATTCAAAAGTTGACAAAGTTATCACTGAGGTAATTTTGTTTTCCTGAGTGAAGACCTACAAACAAAATTAATTTACAGAATTCACATATCAAATGATGTGACTTTTGTTATCTTTTTATTTTAAATTAAAATACTCATCTTTATAGATTTTTTTTTTGAACAAGCATCTTTATAGATTATAATTTCAAGAATGTGACTGTCATATAATTATGATTAAGTTATTATTATTATTATTATTATTACAAAAATTATGTTTTTAAAACACCCTTTCTTTAACAATTATTCTTGCTTATAGTGAGGCCTTGTTTGGGATATTGGTTTTTAACTAAGGTTGTAAGGTGGTAAGGTGTAATCTGTGTTTGCCTTTGGGTTGTAATAATGTGCGTTGAGTTGGAACCTCTCTAACTTGTAGCAGTCGCTTTGGGGATGTACATGATTAGTCTTACTTGTACATGATTAGTCTTACGTTGGGTGCTGATATAATTGGGATGCTTAGTTTTAACAATGATGCAATTGTACCTTTTACTAGTTTGTATCTTCTCATTATTTATATAATTTCTCTATTTGTTTGCTGCTCAAAAAACTAAACAATCAAAAGATTACTATAAACTATCAAATTATTCTTTTTACTTTTTTACGTATATTTTTATTAAAAAAATTAAAAATTATTAAAAAAATTTCAATTCCCAAACAAAAAATTATTTAGTGCTCTTGGGGTGCCATTGGTTGTACTCCTCACCAATCACAAACCTCCCTCTCCTCTCATATTTCTAATCATGCAACACAAAGCTATGAGTCGTGACTCTTCTACCAATCACAACATCCTTACCAACTAATAACTTTTCTTTCCAAACACTCCTGAATGAAATATGAAACAGTATTGCTATTTCGCACCAAAAATTAGACTTGATCTTTAAACCCAATGATATGACAATCAATTAAGATATTAAAGGCAACTATCTTTCTTATATTTTCTCTAATCATTAATTAATTATTGAATTTAAAAAATAAGTTTATATATCGTTTTTAAATATGAAATGATGTTAATATGTTTATCCTGATATATATATCAGGCCGGAATACTGTTAGGCCCTTCGATTCTTCAACATTTGGACTGGGCAGGCTTCTACGGAAACATGTTCTCTTTCAAGCAAACAAAACTAATGCGCCTCCTGGAATACATCAGCTTAGGAATGTACGGATACATAGTCGGAGTCCGTACAGATGTGAGCATGATCAAGACTTCCGGCAAGCTCTCGTGGATCATCGGCGTCTTAGGCTTTCTGATCCCCCTCGTAATAGCCTACTCCACGAACATCTACCTCGGAAAATTCTTCATCTCGAAATCCGAAGCAGCGGACCTCATGCCCATCTGCCTACTTGCCTCCTCGTCTTACTTCCACGTTACCTCCATCCTCCTCGAAGAACTGAACCTCCTCAACTCGGAGATCGGCCGGCTCGCCCTTTCTTCGTCGCTCATCTCCAGCCTCTTCAGTTGGATTTACTCAATTTCCACCAACTACTACTATTATGCTAACTTCTATAAACTTACCAAGTTGGTCTACTTGGAAAGGCAAACATACAGGATCATCCTGGCACTCTTCATAATCTTCGCACTCCGGCCAGTAATGTTCTGGATGATCAGGAAAGTCCCGGAAGGAAAGTGCATAAAGGAGGCGCACTTTTTCGGGATGGTGGTGATGTTATTCGGGGTGGGATTTTTGAGTGAGTCATTGGGTTACACAGCGTTCTTCGGGATGATGATATTGGGGCTGGCGGTACCGGCAGGCCCGCCGCTGGGGTCGGGAATGCTGCGAAGGCTGAAATTGTTTGTGTCGACGGTGTTGTTGCCGTCGTTCGTGGTGAACGTGGGTCACATAGTGGATGTGTTTGCGATGAAGGCGGACGATAAGGTTATAATGACGGTGGTGATCGTCTGTATGGCGTCCTACTTGGGGAAGATTGTGGTGACTGTCATTCCTTTGCGCTTCTGCAAGATGCCTTACGCGGATGCTTTCGCGCTTGCCCTCATCGTCAGCACCCAAGGCCTTTTTGACGTATTCTTTATCAAAATTTCGGCATCATACGGGGTAAGTAACACACCTCCCCCTCAACCTAATATTATTTAATACTCTGGGAATACCACGTGACGTATTTTAATTTAATCATCAATTACTTAGTCTCATGTTATTCTTTTATCCCAACATAAATTGTAAGCGTTTATGTTTTTTTATCAATCAAAACCTTATAAAGCACTACGTGTACATACTCTGAGGGCGTGTTTGATTGGGGGATTGGAGGGGGGACTATTCACTATTTGGATTACAATCCAAACAGTGTTCCTTATCCGCCGTTTGATTTTTTTTTAGTCCGCTGGACATGGAGTCCGGCCGGACTCCATGTCCCCCATATGGGAGACTATTGTGTCCTAGCGGGGTGGGATAGAATGTGGGAGACTATTCACTGTTGAGATTAGATGCGAAAATGACTATTTTGACCATCTACTATTTAATTATGTATTATATTTAATAAAATTCAATAAAATTTAAATGTCTCAATTTAAAAATAAAATAATTTTATTTAACTTTTTATTGATGTTTTATTTATTTAATTTTTTATAGATATTTTGTTGATGTTTTATTTTAAAATTTTGTTTATATTTTATTTAATTTCATTATTTAAATTTTAATAAATGTTTTATTTAATTTCATTATTTAATTATTGTTATTTTTAAAAATAAATTTATTTAAAATTTTAATTAAAAAAATAACATATATTTTTATTGATATTTTATTTATTTAATTTAAAAAAAATAAATTTATTTAATTGTGTAAAAACTAAAATACTATAAAATAAAATTTTATTTAATCTAGTAAAAAAATTAAGATATTAAAGATATGTTTAATATTGCTATTACATAGTAAACAATTAAAAAAGGATAAAATAGTTCTTTGTTCATTTATCATATCCAGTCCGTCCAATCAAACATTGGATTCACTGAAAATAATCCTATCCAGACATCTAATCCCATGAAAAAACAAACACAGGATACATATCCAATCCGACCAAATAGTCCGGAAGATTCACAGTCCCAGGACTCAAGTCCGATGGATTCTAATCTCCCCTTTTCCAGTCCGTCCAATCAAACACACCCTAAGAGTACTGAATAATCACCCCCTAATACAAAACCTATATATATTAGCGGGCCAAATAATGATAATAAAAACAAAATACACATAATATTTGTTGCTCAAATAATAAGAGTTAATTTTGTTATACTCATAATCTTAATTTCAAGTCTTACTCAAATATGTTAACACCGTCAGCTGCCTTTATATATTAAAATGAGTAATGTTAGGCATCATGAAAAATATATCATGAAATATATTATGAAATACATCATGAAGATTTTTCATCCCTTGATGAGTCTTGATTAGTGTGTGGTGTTTTATTGTATAGGTAATCCAAAAGTTGAGAATCCTTCATGATAATATTCATGATATATTTTTCATGATCCTTAGCATTACTGTATTAAAATTAGTAGGTGTTTACACCACATGGATCTGCTTGAAATATGCAATACATATTGGAAAAGTTTCGAGTAAATATTGTTTGTTTTTACTTTGCGTACCGATGTAGTTTTAGCAAAGATAAAATATTTAAGATTCAAAAAAGAAAAAAAAAATTATAAATGTACTTATAATGATGTGATATTATATGTGTCAATTTTGATTTATTACGCATCTAATGATATAAGGCTTAAATCTCTTATAACATCATTATGGATGAATTTGTGAATCTAAAAATATGAATCTCTAACATTACTCTATGTTACTATACTTATTGGTTAAAAAATGCAGTGTATAGTATACAATTAGGAAAATGTTATAGGTTTCAAATTTTCTACCAAATAAATGATCAAATATTTCACATGTGTGTGAATCCTATACTATATTTAGTCAATTATTTGATAAAAAACTTAATATCTCTAACATTACCTATACAATTAAATTTAACATGATATAAATTTGGTCCACGTTTTTTACTTTTCGAATAATGGAGCTATGTGGGAACTAGTAGGGGAAAATTTCCTATACACTTTTCATATCACCAGATATAAAGTCATCTCTAGTAATTATTGTCATTTTGGCAATGTAAAAATTATAATTTAACATGATGCAGTAATAACAAGTTAAATTTTAACGATGTTGCTTTAGTCTTTCAATCAACTTGCCTTGTTTTCTTTGTTCAACCATCAGTTTTTAACTATATTTCCTCATTTTTGTGAATAACATAGTTTACGCGGTGGTAAAAAAAAATTAAAAATAAAAATTGTTTATATATAACATTTTCCTCACAAATTTGTGTTTCAACTGAGCAGATGAGATATAATAATATAATTCACTATAGTTGCGTCCATAGTAAAATTCTCCACTATGAAGTGAGCTTTCTACATCACTTATGTACTAACTACATTATGTACACTATTTTTTTTTTTTTTTTTTTTTAAATTTCCAAATCATCAATTTTGATATTTCTTTCAACAACATATGCAGTTACTACGTCGAGAATCCTACTCCGTTATCACTCTAATCTCTGTGTTGATAGCATCTTTTAGCACTCCTATAATCAGTCACCTATATGATCCTTCAAAAAGATACATCAACTACAAAAGGCGAACACTCCAGCACTCTAGGCATGAACACGAGCTTCGAATGCTTGTATGCGTTCACGAAGAAGACCATGTTTTCAGCATAATGAACGTCCTGAAAGCCTCTTATCCTCACAAAAAGAATCCCATTGAAGCTATTGTTCTCGACATGATGGAGCTCAATGGCCGAGATAACCCGCTTCTCATCAACCACCAATTCCATAAAGGCCGCTCTTCTACGCTCACTCGAGCAGACCGCATCATCACCGCCTTTCAACAATTTGAATTGCACCATGAAGGGCTCAAACACCAGCATTTCACCTCTATTGCACCTTACACTTCGATGCATGATGACATATGTCTGTTGGCACTTGAGAAGACCACATCCTTGTTGATCCTCCCATTTCACAGCTCAGAGAGCGTCGCAGTAAGGGGGTTGAAGAAAAATGTCCTCGATAAGGCTCCATGCTCTGTTGGGATACTTGTCGACAAAAAAATAGTTATGTACTGGAGATCTAATTATCTTGACGAGAAAAAATTCAATGTTTGTGTGATTTTCTTAGGAGGACCAGATTCTCGTGAGGCACTAGCCCTTGCTATGCGCATGGTTGAGAACCCTGCCATTAGGCTCACCGTCATTCGACTAATTGCAGAAGACGATTTCATCACTGATTTATTGGAGACTAAGCTTGATGTAAGAGTGATCGCCGAGCTTGAGAATTTGTACAAAAACGAAATGGATATCGAGTATAGAGAAGTGATTGCCAAGGACGGAGCTAACACAGTGGAAGTTCTCAACTCTCTTGATGACCAATATGACCTCTTATTAGTGGGAAGAAGACTTGATAGTGAATCCCCACTGGTGGCTGGACTCACTGATTGGAGTTTTGCCGCAGAACTAGGAATCATCGGAGACATACTTGTGTCCTCGGATATGAAGTGCAATGCATCAGTGCTTGTTCTGCAACAACAAACCACAGTTGAAGATTTACTAAATATTCAAAAAGAATAATGTTATATGTATAGCAAAGTGTAAATTAATATGTTAGGCGAGGTTTGTGTGCACTTTGTATCCACATTAAATTAGATTCAGTCACTGTTACTACAAATAAAATTTGTACATATCTGATACTCGTACGACACATTTTTTAGAGTATCTGTGCTTCATAACTTCACAATACCCCCAATATTTCTTAATACTATAGCTATCTATCACCTTTTTTTTTTAACAGCAAAAGGAAAACTTTATTGATGAAAACATAAGAAGTATGAAAAATTATATCAATAATGTCACACCCCAAATCCGGGCATGACCGGCCGTGGCCCACAGGGACTTAGCCCAAGGCACACGTAAGCCTAAACATGAATCCAATCTAAGTCAAAGCTCCAACCTCCTAGTTGGTGAGAGATCAACAAAACATAGCAGACTAAGCAACCACAAAAGCTACAAGCACACTACATCAGTCCTCAAGTTGCAACCACTGCAATCACTCCAAGCCTACAAAACTCCAAAAACTCAGACAGCTTGCAGCAGAAAACAACCAGCTTCTAGCAAACCAACACAACATAACAGCAACAGATATCACAAGCTCACTACAGAGCATAGTAATCCAACAAACAGCAAGCTTCACACCCCTCCACAAATACATTTCCTAATCCCACAGACACACTAACAGCAAGCCACACGTGAGACCAACCAGAAACAGAGTTAAGCAGACCAAACAGAGCAGCCAAATGACCACATCTCAGCAACCCTGCTCAGATCACCCTCAGCCATATACACAGACACCAACGAGCACTCCCAAACACAGATTTCAGACCAACACCTGCTGCTGATGCTCACCAGAAGAAATCAGATTATAAACCATTGCACATCTACTGCAACAAATACACTCAACCTAATGTTTAACCTTGTGCATCACATCAAACCTGGCCACCTAAACAAACTCTAATCTGCCTGATGTTATAAAGAAAATATTTATAGAAAACTGACAGTCCTTAGAAGAAGCCTTCAGCCAAATAGCTAACCTAATATTGATTGACTCCTGTAGCTCCTCCATAGTTGGTTGAACACTATTGGACACGCAACCATTCCGATGTTTCCAAATGGACCAAAGGGCAACCAGAGGAATAGCATTCCATATCCTCCTTTTAGCTTTCATGAGACTGTTGCCCGCCCACCAATGCAACCGACATTCAATAGAACCAGGCACCACCCAGACCAATCCCCACCACTGCACTAATCCAGACAACACCTTCCAAATCAGAGGGCAAGAAATAAGGACATGTGAAACAGATTCTGCCTCTGATTTGCAGAAAATACAGAGAGTTGAAACTTCCTCATCCAGCACTCCAACCCTTTGGAGGAAAACAGTAGTTTTGATTTTATGTTTCCAAGCTAACCACCCAAAAAATTGAACTTTGGGTGGGAGATAATTAATCCTCACCAGTCTACAAGTACTCACAACAGCACCAAAACCCACCTCGCAGTGCCTATATAAAGAAGCAACAAATGACTGACCTGGTTTACAAGCTAGCCACCTTGGTTTGTCTTTTTCCCCCAAACATAACATAGGGGCTGCTCTTAACATTTCAGTGAGCCGAGATACCTCCTCATCCTCCCATAGCCGCAAAGGCTTTCTTAAACATAAATCCCAAAACCCAGAGCTTCCATTTTTATCAACAAAAAGCTTAAGAGAACCATTCTTCTCTGTGGAGAGTGAAAAAATTCTGTGTTCATAGCTTCACAATACTCTTAATATTTCTTAATACTGTATCCATCTATCACTTCACGAAATTGCGTATGATTCATCAAAACTTGAAAGTATTGAGAGTAAGAGGAATTCAATTACCACTTGAGAGAATGGAAAAAGAGAAAAATGATATAGAAGTTTAATTTTTAGACCCATTGTTAAGACTCTGTGATGTATAAAAATGATGATTGACTGATAATTAAAGAAAACATAAGAGAGAGAAAGAGATAGAGACAGAGAGATGGCTAGATAATCTGTCACATCATTATATTTGAAAAGTAGGTCTAACTTTAGAATAACATTATTCAAGAAAAAATATTAAATTTATAAATATAAATGGCAATCAAAAAACTATTATTACCCCAACCGAAATGATATATTTACACTTATTTTGGAAAAGAGCAAAAAAATAAATTAGAAAAGAATTTTGATCAACAAAAGAAAACTTTATTGATGAAAATCAATGTACAAGACAAATGATAAACACTAATAAAGAAAGTGAGTACAAAGAGCATCAAAGCAAAAACGATCGATCTCAACTAGGTTGGCACCAAAAAGTAATCATTTGCTAGCACAAAACAAAATTGATGAGAAACCAATAACCAACGTCAAACAAAACAAAACAAATAGAAAGATCAAAGAGCAAACGAAATTTAACACACAAGTACATGTGCTTGCAATGGAGTCTCACACATCCTATAACAATGAATAACACGAAATTTCACTCCATGTAAGCACTTAGTCACATAATCACGTACGGATTACTCTCCCAAGACAATAATTGTCCAACAAACATTCCAAGAGTTCCTATTAGAATAAGTATTGATCAAGTGTTCTTCTAATGGAATTTCTAAGAATTTAGTAGACGCAATTAACATCTTAGAAATTTAATCTCATACCCACTTAATCACATAACATGTTATCACTTAGCACATAAGGCACATAACACTCATAACTAGCGAAATGAACCCATTGTGGTCAAAACCACATCCCATAAGCCCAAGATATTCAAGCCTAGTAAATTTTAATACCAAGTTGTAACGTCTCCAAAATATTGAAACCCGACTCATTGGATACAACCCACATTCATTCGAGGATTCTAAGTATTGCTATGATTAACATGCAGAAGGAATTAATATTCTAGACAACTCCTGGATTAATGTTCTATTAAACCTCTGCATTTCATTCATAGCTATCACTTTAGATTTACAAAAGAGAATCACATGTATTAATACATTCACAATTCCTAAGACTTGAATCTATAGCATGTGATTTCGAAGAGTAGTACTGAAAATAAATACAAGTAAATGTCATAGAGGCTACAAATTCCAAGGACCTTAAGTGTGGGTTTCAACCCAATACATGTATAGCCCTTGGCTTACAAAACAAACAAAAAATAAAACCAATCTTCGCGCTCCAAAATCCTCCACATTTTCATCTGGATGGAGGTATACCATCCGCATCTAAAATTTGTCCACATAGGGATGAGCATTGACACCCAGTAAAGAATAACTTAATGAAGTGCATGCAGTTTAACAACATCATAAGGTAAATGTGATGAGATGTCATGCCAAAAATATAGGGCTCTGTTTGGTTTAACTCTGGAAACATGATTCTATCCTTACGTTTCAATACTTTATTTGGTTTAAGTTTTCAAAATTTGATTTTAAGACCACATTTCAAAACTCATTTGACAACATATTTGGCAGAGTAGGGAGTTTTTGAATTTTGAAAAGAGTGGATTGAGTCTATCGAGTCGTCCGCCCGGACATCCGGTTGACTGGAACAGTGCTTTTTTTCTTTTTCTTTTTTTGTGCAATTGGCACCGATTATGTGAAAAAAAATTATATTTGTTTTTGATATTTTTTTAAATATAGAAATTATTTTTTTTGGACCAAAATGAAAAATTATTTGGCCATTTATTTAAAATTAACAAAAAATAAAAATAATAAAAATTAATTTGTCAAAGTAATTTTTAAACAAATAAAAAAAATTAACAAAACAATTAAAAAAAATTCCAACCAAATATACAATCAAAAGTAATATTTTCGGAATTTTGTTAATTTTTTAAATAAAAAAATTAGTTTTTACAATAATTATTTTTTTGAATTGAATTTTAAAAATAGTTTGTTTATAAGTTTTGAATAGAATTTTCAATAGAGTTTTGAATTGTGTGTTTAATTATGAGTTGTAAATTTTTGAATTATGTTTTGAAAACTCTTTTCAAAACACATAATCAAACAAATTTTTTTATTTCAAAACTCATTTCAAAAATTTAACACTCAATTCAAAATTCAATTCAAAACTCTTTTCACAAGTCATAACCAAACAAATTTACTCTTTTCAAATCATAATTTCAATACTCACAAACTCGAAACACAACTCCACACTCAAATCATAATTCTAAAACTAAACCAAATGCTACCTAGGTTTTTCATATTCAGAATCTCATGCAATGCACTATTTAAAAATCATAAACAGTTCAAAGCTTTCAATTTAATAAACTTGGGGTGGTAAATATGACTCTGGTAATCCATAGGTATGTGTCTGCAAGTAGTCTTATAGAGCACTACCAAACCACTTTACCAACTGTTAACTGGAAAGAAATTGGAATCTACTCCGCAGGTGTTTTTGGACTTTTACTATGGACCTAAAACCAACTTAATTCACAATAACTACACTCCCTAACCGGATTTGCAAAGGTATTTATCCTATTTCTCAATGCATTTCAATTACTTTTGATAAGTCAATCACAATGCATTTCTCAAATGCGATACAAAGTAGAAAAAATGAAAACCTGTGATGTCCAATGATATGTATGACTTGCAAAAGTTCCGTTTTTCTTAGTTCATATGCAATTTTTACAACACATCAATGCAATCCTCCACTTATTGTCAAAACAGTTATCTCTGATTCAATAACCCACAATAAGAAATATATGTAGAGCATAACTTGGTAATTTCTCAACAATTCCAAAATGAGAGTTTTGCCTTGTAACTTCTCATAATCTCAACATTTCATAAACATGACCAAAGCTCATAATTTCTCACAAATTGCAAGAGTTTTCTCGATACATAATCAATTTCCCATTTCACAAATTCTAGGGTTTTAGTAAAAACTTAGAGGGTTTCTCTTTTAAAACAAATTTCTCCATATTCAAGCATACACAACAACTATGAACAACCCAACTTCAAGATTTTGAAATCATTTGAGAATGTTTCCTTAATTCATGCATTAATAATAATTTAGATAATGTTGATCCTTTCCTTTTCGTCAATAAAATTCCCTAAATATGTTCCTTAGGTAGATTTTTCTTAGTTGATAACCTAGGACTTGGAACCTTG